AAAAGGTTGAAAGCTTGAAGCTTCAAAGAATGTATATAGTGCACTTCACAGAGTTGAAAATCATTGACAAGGTGCTGATTTTCACAAGAATNGGCGGATATTGATAAGCCCTTCAGTTCCACAAGAGCACTGGCCATTGCAATGTTTTTCCAACAGTCGGACATATTCAACTTCGACTTCAAGTTTATATTGCAATCTTTAAGCTTCCTATAGAAGATAATTCTTGTTAGCATTTTTCATTGTTTCGCAGCATTTCGAGCAAACCTCATAGAATTTTCTCTCTTCGAGTTTCATAAGATGGTAATGCTTCTACATATCTTCACCTATGGCATGTTCATATCGCATGTACTGCCTCCTGTTCATGTTGTGCATACCTGATTTTGTTTATTTAGAGTAATATTTGGAAGATGCCAAAAAATCAGTGGCAGTTCCTCTGCCTTATTGTTCGTTCCAGGAGGCTCGGGGCCAACCTATTTTGCTACTTGAACCTGCCCTAGGAGCACATGAATGACCCATAGATAGAGCATATGTATAGATAGGTTAGGATACACAGAAAGGAATGCTCACTCTTTCTAGTTTGCTGGACCTAAATGGTCATTCATCTGCTTCTAAACAATCAACTATCTCATAGCTTAGTTTCGCTTTCGACCTAAAACTATTGACAACCTTAAGAAGAATTCCCAGTGCAGTGAGCATAGTCATTTGACGATTTGGATAGGGAAAGAGCTCATGAAAAGGTTGAAAGCTTGAAGCTTCAAAGAATGTATATATAGGTACTTCACAGAATTGAAAATCATTGACAAGGTGCTGATTTTCACAAGAATAATTTCTTGCAAATCAGTAGTGCAACGCAGCCATTACGAGCATAGCCAAAAAACATTTACTACAAACGACAACCGAGAGAAACGTGTGACTTCAACCGAGCAAAACTTCGTTTGTTTACATGCAAATTTTAAGTAGGCGGCAATTTTTTCCATATGTAGGCCAGGCAGGATCGTTGCTTTGAAGTGCGCACCTTCAGCTTCAGTGGGGGGATTTGTGAAGAATCTGGACTATATAAAATTTGCGGTGCGGTGTGAATTTATATCAAATTCAGCTGATTAAATGTTGGGAAAATGCCACTTTATCTACATGTTTCATTTTTTTGTCCTATCGTTTTGAATGATAGCGAATACATAGTATTGTGCAAATTACATTCAATGGAATAGTGCCCACCCAAATTTTCCTATTCGTAGATATCTCCCTCTCAGAGTATATGTATGTATGTTCACCCTTTTGCTTTTTCGTTCAACTACATTAGACTCTGAGCGAAATTGACCTGCAATCGCAGTTTTTTGTAGTCCGTGGCCTCTCACTGTTTCATCGGTACTCATATTTATTCATTGCCTGTTCTCTTAAACATGGTGTGCCATTTGGTAGCGATTGAATTCCTTCCCGAAAGGAAGTTTTAGTTTTTGGTAAGTGAAGATAAACATATGGTATAGATTTCAGTGATCTTTGATGAGCTTGGAAGCAACACTTGGAATTCGACTTCTAGCTTCGCTGCTGATCCTGATTCCAGCCATTGTTGGCTTAGTACTTCACACTATACTCGCCATTACACTCTACAAAGTAAAAACCGGTGCCATTTTTCTATGTCATTCTCCCTTCAGTTAGGAATGAAAGCTCCATTCAGCTCTGTTATCTACTAAACATTCAGGGATGGAGAACATTTCGACGTGTCAGTTTTTATGTTATTACCGTGCAACTGCAAGGATGCGACTTTTGCGCCCTTCTACTCGATCTTTATATTGCCTTTCCACTTACACTCACAGGCCGTCAGGTACTTGTTCATAGTAATCTTTAAAGTAGCTGTATAGAAGAAGCTCAGGAGGAGCGAGGTTCTTGTAGAGAATACGTTAATAAGATGGCCTGTGCACATTTTCTCCCATCACAATAGCTGTGCTATCAAGGTGAAGGGCTGCCTACTGAACCGGGAGCACTAGCAAGCCAATTGAAATTTATCAAAATCGGAAATAAGTGCTGAAGGCAAAATCATATCGTCTGTCATCTTCCTACTCTTTTCAAGAAGCTTGAGGCCCTGATCATATACCCGGACAAAAAAATCCTAATTTAAAAAAACGCCCACATAATCAGGTTGAGGGTGATTTATCCTTTTGGGTAGATTCTCAGAAGGAAAACTAGCTTTTAAAAAGCTATTCAGCTATAATAAAGATAGCTATAACAGAGCTTTTTTTGCTATGGTTCAGTCTACGTTTAACAATAGACCATTTTTACTTCCAAAGAATGAGGGAGTGCTTTCTATGCTATCGGTTTACCTAAAGCTCGACGTAAAGAATCAAAATGTTAACTTAATAAGCCATCATATCAATTTGTATCAATACTATACATTTCAGTATATGGGCGATAGTATAGCTTTATACTACGGCCCGTTATTTTTCGAAGGAATTGCATTCAACGGATTGTTTCTGTTATCATTTTTTATGAGTTTCAACCGATTTCTATTATTTATTCTTCCACAGCTACACAACAAAATTTTCACGTATTGGGGAACGAGGATGTGAGTAATCTTTGCCATTACTTATTGAAATAACAAACAGACTGGCATATTTCTGTATGCTTACTCGAACTTGCCTTTACTATTTTTCGTTGCTGTTCAGAATGTCGCTCATTGTTTGGATTATTGTGTTTCTTTTTATTGGATTATCAAATTATTTTGGATGCCGCAAGCAGTTTGCCAAAGACGGTTCGTCTATTTGTTCTTGTCTTGTATCATATCGGGAATAGTGAAAGCATTCAAAGAGCCATTTTTCTACTGTGACTTTTGCTTCCATTCTGCTCACCCTCAGCATTGAACTCTATTTTGACGGCAACATAAATAAGGATAGTTCAAAAAGGTTCCACACTATTAACCATTGTATTCATTACACAAATAGTTACTAAAACTCTCATCACTTTTTGCTCTTGCTCTGTTTCAGCTTAAACGCAGAGTAGAAATTCTGTTTCCCCCCCCCCCCTCTCCCCCACCACATCAAAAACTTTGTGAGGAGAAGTCTTGACAGCGTGAGCGAAGTAAACTCTTTTCTTGGCAGTCCTGTGGAGAAAAATCTGCAAAACTATCAAAATGAAAAGTACAACCCCTCAAAATCGCAGAAAAAACACAGTGATGTAAGAAACACGCTAAGGAGATTTGGAAAGAAACAAGACGATCAATTCGTCATTCCCGTCGTTCTGTGAGAATGAAATGAAGAAGCCTCTCCAACAATAATTCCGCTTCGGCTCAAAAGTTATGCAGCTGACTGAGTAAATCACCACAGTTACGTCACTGTGAGTTTAGTTGAGTAGTAGGACCTTAGACACATAAAAATGGTGGCACCAAAGGAAAATGATCGAACATTACCTTACTCCGATGTTTCGCGAGTTAGTTATGTACAGATTTAGTTTTCTTTCATGACACTGTCACATATTCATGAGAACTCCCCTCGATGAGGCAACTCCAGAACTTCTTCGAAAATAGGGGTTTTTTGGAATTTCTCCAGAAACACATTGTGTTTAAGTTTCTTTTTTCGAACCGGCTCGCCCAAAGAGGGTTCTGCCAATGACCTCTACTATTTTCCAAGAAGGCGATCTGAAAATTGAGCATCGCCATGAAACTCATTTTTTGCAACATTCTATTCTGTCCCTCTTCCTCCAGTTGTTACTTTAAAAGATCCAACTTATTATCTATACATTTCAGTTCCAATAGGCCAGTTTTCGGCTGATAAAAATGATTTCAGATTTTTACTTCTGGTACAACTGCAGCAATCGTGTTCCGGGAGAATTCCATTACAATGATGTGAGTGTTCAAAACTTGATTCTACTGAAACAACAAGCAAAGTAGTTCTCATTAATTCAACTCGAAACACTGACAGCATTTCACATGCAAGTAGACCTATGACAAAGCTTAGGAGCGCGTCACCTCACGTCAGTTATGAACTTAAAAACAGATTAGAGTTATCATCAGGTGGTAATACGCTATATGCAAACATCACGACCTTGTTATAGCTTCTTGTTTCTTTAGTCTAGCATTTCAAAACAAAGTTGCTGTCTATTTTAATTCTATTTAGTTCATGCACATTGCATCAAACATCGTTCCAATCACAATGATCGTCATGTACGTCATCATTTACGTGAAGATACGACATGCAATTCACGATAGCGAGATGGCTCGAGTGAAGCAAGAAATAAAATTCTTTGTTCAGGTGATTGATCATACTCCTTCGCAATATGGACTCCGTACATGGTAAAGGAGTGAAGTAGAAATTGGAAAGGGGAACAAGCTCATTCTGAGCAAGCCGGCCAGGGCAGTTGGCCCGGAGGATGCCCCATATGCTTCTACAGAGCGGTTTTTCTAATACCAGGTCAACTGCATAAGTTCAGTGTACACTCAAGTAACGTCTTTAAGACAAGGATCTAAGGATGAAGATTGGAGTACTGATGTTATAGATCACACCTGATTAAATTTTGTAAACTTACCAAATTCTATGACAGATGATTTTTTGAATAGTCCCTTCCTTAGTGAACCCTACAAAAGGTAACTTCAACGCTAGGTCTTCTTGAAACCTAGGCATATGACTTGATTTGTTCTAAACGAATGAAGCGTTTCAACCGTCACGGCAGAGCAGTACAGAACGTCTGTAGAACTTACAATTAGGGCAT